ATTTTATACAGGAATTACCTTTGTACATGGTACAAAGTAAAACATTTTATACAGGAACTACCTTTGTACATGGTACAAAGTAAAATATTTTATACAGGAACTACCTTTGTATATGGTACAAAGTAAAACATTTTATAGGAGAGGAAATAGGTGATGTGAAACAAAGGATCGTTGTATAATGAATAGAACTTAGTCAAATCTTTTAGATTGGATAATGAAGTTTTGTACAAACTGGCCACTAATATTCGAAAATATAGATGAGGAAGACGAGCTAGATGACATGGGACCAGGATTCAGTTCTATAAGTCCAAAGCACGACGTAGAGATATAGACAATTTATCAGTAGCGGACATGATAGAAGAGGAGATGAATTTAGCACTTATGTAGTGAATGTCAGGTTTGTATTTGAAACTTTTGACGCTAAGATGGACGAAAGAATACCTATCGTTACAGAACTGGATACTTGAAGAGGGAGTAGAAGCAATTGATTGAATGGTAGAAAAGGTCTTTAACTCAATGTCACCTGACAAACACCAGCTGATCAATGCATAATGTATAGATATAAAAGTAAGTTATTCTGCTTAAAAGGATGCGCAGTGGTAACATGAGCTGCTATGGAACCACTCTCTGAGTGATGTACTAATAAAATGTAAATATAAGACTAAACGCATGTAACAAAAGTAAGAGTAATGCAATACATAACATGTCGGGAACGGTCACGTAAAGGGCGAGATTTGCAGACTGTATATAGTTATTGAAGACACGAATTCGAACACGATAGAGAGAAACATCAATAGGCATTATGTAATGCCAGACTGGGCAAGGAGGTAAGCGAGTGCTCGGGAAGGTGTCGTGATCATGATAATAGAAGTAGTCAGAGGCACACTGGGCAACAGGGGAGGTTCATCAGAACAAGATTTGGAGAGAGGGGGGAAAGACCAGGTAATTGTTAATATTTTGTGATCGGTACTGGAACTGAAAATACAAATAGTAACGTGCACACACACACGTTCATACATGCTCGCGTAAGCGATCACAATTTAACTTACACAATGCTAAGGCACAAATCAAAGTAACGTGAACATTATCACTAGGCCTACATTATCTAGAAGAGTAATTCCATTGGTAAAATGTACAAAATAGACTCATAGTGATGAGAATGATAGTTGCACACTTCGAGAGAAAACATGGGTACTACTACATACAAGATTCTATTAACCGGATTCCGGAGGATCCGGTATACAACTTGGGTATAGGTTGCAGTGTAGCAATACATAGCAATGTATAGCACACAGAATTTGTGTAATATCAAATTTTAAAAATAAGTAGTAATAATAATGCAAATAATAGTAGTGGTAATAACTTCAGCAAGTCGAGCAAGTTACATGCATATCATATATAAATTGTATCGACTGCTTTCACGATAAAAGTAATAGTGACATTCAAATAGGCAATCATTTTCTGGATGGGATTAGGAAAATAATATAGATTATGTGGTAATGTATTACTGTGTACCGTGTACAGTAGTAGTTCCTGTATACAATTAATTACTTTGTACCGTATACTGCAATAGTTCCTGTATACAATGTATTACTTTGTACCGTATACTGCAGTAGTTCCTGTATACAATGTATTACTCTGTACCATATACTGCAGTAGTTCCTGTATACAATGTTTTACTTTGTACCGTATACTGCAATAGTTCCTGTATACAATGTATTACTTTGTACCGTATACTGCAGTAGTTCCTGTATACAATGTATAACTTTGTAGCGTGTACAGTAGTAGTTCATGTACACAATGTATTACTTTGTACCGTATACTGCAATAGTTCCTGTATACAATGTATTACTTTGTACCGTATACTGCAGTAGTTCCTGTATACAATGTATTACTTTGTACCGTACCGTATACTGCAATAGTTCCTGTATACAAAGAAATCCTTTGTACCGTATACTGCAATAGTTCCTGTATACAATGAGTTACTTTGTACCGTGTTATAATGATCATATATAAGTGTCAGTTACAGTTAATTGTACCTTTGTTTATGAGAGTATATTCCCATATTTCCATTATATAACAAGCAATGAACCATGCTTTCTTATGTATTGCAATTATATTACGTCTATATTTTATGTGACACACTGTTCCGGGAGATATGTAAATTGTAAGATAATTTCATATGTAGACAATGGTGCTGGTTCAGTATAAATCTGCTTATATATTATAAAAAATTGAATAAAAACATTTGATGTATACTATACGTATTCGGCATAGTTCCCACGATACTTCACCAGACATCAATTCAATCGTATAATTTGTTATTGGTTTGTGTAATGCATATATGTAGAAACTTTTGACTTCAATTATTTTTACATTTTACCTACCTATAGTATATATATCATTACTTTACCTGGACGTGTCGTTACTACTGCCACATGAAAAATTAAAACTGGTGCACTAGTTAACAATTAATCCCAATTATTACAAATATTTCATCAAATTAGACTCTCCACTGAAACAGTTAATATTTCGCCTAGTAACCCATTGGAGAGCCTACTGCTCACCGGGGCGAGTCGACATTTGTACCTACATGTTTAGAATATATATCGTCGTATGTTAATTAAGCCGGTATACCATTTATAAATTTGATGTTCATGTAAACCCTAATTACAGCATTTTCAGCGTCAGATTCCCTTACTTGGTAAGCAGGACTGCTGTATGTATGGGTGATGCTGAGCCCCGGTTACAGCTATCAGTTATATGATTGACGATACCCTACGTACCTTACACATGGCTTTCTGTGATCGTCTGGGTGTCACCTGCACATTCCTCCGTCATAACGCCTGCTGATTAAAATGCAACAAAATATAATACACAATTACATGTATATATACACAGGTCACGTTGGCGAGGTTCACACACAGCTTGGTCAACTTAAATCTCCCACACAAACCTGTCCGTCAAATCTAACGGGATAAATGTCACATCAAAATGGTTCTTCTTATAATGAATAAACCATACATTGCATGATGAATTTCGGTCAAAATACAAAAATATCATAGTTCTAGATAAAGTTAAATTTATCTAAAATGAACGTAAAGATAACAATACTTGGTTTTTGTTTGTGACGTCACAATCCTGTGATATCTAATTGGCTGAGAGACATCAAAAGTGTAAAATCATAACTAAACAACAAACAATAAGAAATAGGTAGGTGTCCACCGGCCCACCCTACATACATGTGGCCTGGTAACGCCTAATGGTACTGGAGGTTCTACCACACAAATGATTCATAATCAATACTTCTGCATCGTCTCATTCTTATTTATCGTCGCCATTCAGAGAATTTATAAAAATATACATACAATTATTAGACAAAGAAGCGGTAAAAATGTGTACAAAAATGCTCCTCTACTATGCACGTGTTCATGGACGCACAAATACGTTTTTACAATTTTTGAAATATAAAGTATTACCCTATATCCTGATTTCATATTAACAGACAAAAAGAGGAAACTTTAATCACCAAGGAAGCAATCATGTGAGAGGACGATCAGGACAACTTTTCCACTGCTCCCAACAGTTGTTAGGGAAATAAGATATATAGGGGAAAATAAAAAAAGAACATTTCCCAAAATAGGATTCCACAAAGAGCTATGGCAGGTTGCTATGTCCATTTCCCCAAAGCTATGATCCGCCAACCGTACACTGTTATGACGCGTACTCAGGTTAGCTCTATCGGAATCCCGTGTCTAAGAATAGATTATTGTAAACAGACGAATTTAAGGCCATGGCTATTAATACTTGCGTTCATGATAAAGACTCAACAAAATGCGTATTTCGCGTTATGCTGTATAAAACACATTGCGCTCCTAACTTTGTGCTGCAGTCTTTCTGCATTTAAAACAAATGAGACTGTCCTAGACGATGAATTCTCCCGCATGTTCTGTAATATCTTTACGATAATAAGACTTCATTATTTTGCTTTGCCTTTTTTATTCTGACTCAACAATCCCCTTTATATTGTATTTCGGCATCGTTTGTTTGTGTTTAGATAATAAATAAAAATGCTAGAGCCGATTGGAGGGTAAAACAATTCATAAATATCATTTAAATGATGTTTCAACTATAAAGCGTATCTGTACTTTACACGCGTACAGGGATTTGTTGACATGATTCCATAGAGGATAAATTAATAGGTATGTTATAAAAATATCAATAAAAAGTTCCATTGATTTGAAAAACATTTATCACTCAATTAAGGAAAATGATCACATGCCTAAATATTTAAAAAAAAAAAATGTATCTGAATGTGGGTTCGAACCTACACCGTTCAATTTTTCTGGTCACAAGCTAACTGCTTTACACATAAGGCTACATCGGATATAGACAACATTGGAAATACAAACTGCTTTAACCAAAGAAATATCTGTTGCAATTTTGAAAACTTGATCAACCCAGTTTTTCATTATTTTGAGCACTTTCCCAAAGGAGGACCACTTTTCCGTGGTACGATTTGTTTTTGCATATTACATCACGGAATCAAAAAATGTATTCAAAAGTTGGTCCTCGGATGGGGAAGTGTTGAAAGTATTTATTTACGTCTGGGAAACCTCTTCACTTTCATGCATATAGTGAATATGGCTATATTTGCGTTATTATATTAATAATACCGAATATCTCAACAGTTCAAAAATTCATATTCGATTGGTTTTATATCTATTCCATGCATTTTCGCTACAAAGCATTATTTACTCATCAATATTTTTTTCCGTTTTCAAAAATTAAAAGCAACATAAACACTTCATGCAAGAGATTGGCCAAACTTACCTTATAAGAAAAACCCCATGACGATAGTTTGGGAGGCGTCCTTTTGTCATGTTTGAAGCGAGCAATGCTGTTTGACACGTGTGTTGGATTACATCTTATTGTCCCTCAGTAGAGATATTCCAGACACACAGAAAACGCCTACATGATCATTCGAATAATGTATAGCCAGCTAGTTTCCGAGTCTAATCCAAATATAGAATTCCATAAATCGGGGCCAGAAATGTGCTTCGAAAGAACTTCCGTTTCGTTGGACTATATAAATTCCGTTTTCGCTGTAATTTCAATGCACATTCTGTTCTATTTACAAATTTAACCTGATATGTATCGTATTCCCTGTCGTTTGATGTGAGACAAACAGGATTTGTTAAAAAAATCCGATGAATATGAATGTTTGTGTTTTTTAGTCTTCTTCCTCTTTATACGAGTGCCCGCCTTGCTACTGGTTCGGCAGATGTAAGTCTTCCCCGAAACGTGACCGACATCATTGTTCGATGACCGTGCGTCCAAAGAGGGTACAAGATATGGTCTCGTCACTGAGGATGGCAGGACACCCACACTAGAGGACGGGACACGGGGGAACAGTGAATGGCGGTTTATGGTGACAAAAACATAGTGAGTATTACACGGTCGGTCTGTGACGATACATCACGACGCTCTGTCGCCCGCGTGCCCTCTTGAGAGCCAGGTCATTGGTAAAGGATCGAGGTCTCTCAGGGGGGAAATATTACAACATGTTTTTCTTTCTCTCTCTTACGGGAACGTAGTGGAGATTATTTTCATTTATTAGCGTAGAGAAACGGGGGGATTCCCTAGTCAAGAAAATTGTATGACGTCACGTTTACAATGCAATGACGGCACGTCAAATTTAAACTAAACTCACGTCAACAATGCTTTGAACCCGCAACGTCAATATTGAATCATGTATACATAACAGGGCAAATAGGATAAGAGAAAAAGAATCATTCACCCCTTGAGGTGAGATAGGGAATATCAACCCTCGGGGAACGATTCTTAAGCCTTGTGCTTAGCAACCTAAACTTTTTCCTCTCAGGTTGAGATCCCCAAATCTCACCCCAAGGGGATGGACGATTCTCCTAACCTCAAACCACACGAAACACTCTGAGCACGATCATACGTTTTAGACTATGATCTATTTACTACTCGTGCATTCTGTAGATAATTCATGTAAATGATATTTCACCAATTATGTATCCCTATCATTGTGCAGTATAAACGAAGCCTAGAAGTTATCCCCGTTGTTTCCTGGGTAACCAATGTAGACGATTGTAGATCATCTATGTAGTCCTGTCATAGGTTAAACCTTGTCGTACAATGTAAAAGGTAATCGACACACCCGGTATACCTGTCGTCGCCAAATGTAAATGATAAAAGACTCATCCTGTATATCTGTCGTCGCCGCCCAATGCAAATGACAATCGGCACATCCGGTATACCTGTCGTCGCTCAATGTAAATGATAACTGAACCTCCCGGTATCTTTATCGTCGCCCAATATAAATAATAGTTGACATAACCGGTAACCCTGTCATCACCCAATATAAATGATAAAGAACCCACCCCAGTATCCCTGTCGTCGCCCAATATAAATGATAATGGACATACTCGGTATCCCTATCGTCGCCCAATATAAATGATAAAGAACCCACCCCAGTATCCCTGCCGTCACCCAATGTAAACGATAATGGACATACTCGGTACCCCTATCGTCGCCCAATATAAATGATAAAGAACCCACCCCAGTATCCCTGCCGTCACCCAATATAAATGATAATGGACATACTCGGTATCCCTATCGTCGCCCAATATAAATGATAAAGAACCCACCCCAGTATCCCTGCCGTCACCCAATGTAAACGATAATGGACATACTCGGTATCCCTATCGTCGCCCAATATAAATGATAAAGAACCCACCCCAGTATCCCTGCCGTCACCCAATGTAAACGATAATGGACATACTCTGTATCCCTATCGTCGCCGAATATAAATGATAAAGAACTCGCCAAGTGTCTCTGTCGTCGCTCCATTTAAACTATAAGGACCCAGTAGATTTCCCTGTCTTCGCCCCGTGTGTATAACTAATCACGGAGAACGAGTAGAATCGTGTATGTTAGCGTTCAATGGGAGACATTTATTGCCCAATATTGATGTAACGTGGTCTTCTGACTTTTAGCTTGTAACTGGTTACATTGCATTCCGGCATTGTCCTTTTGAAATGTCGTTTTAATGGAATGACGTTAATATAATCGATACATATGTTGTGCTCTATTTAGTAAAACAAATAACAACACGTTTAAAAAAGAAGCGAACACAAAAATTAAAAATCATCAGGTTGAAACAAGTATCTCAAACACTTATAATCAGTATTACATTTCTAATGGAAGCAGACCATATTTAAAAATTAATTGCTCATTATACGGAGAGAAGCGTTTGTGATATTATTTCTCAGACTGATTTTGATTATTTTATCAATGTTTGTAAATTTTGATGAAATAAAATCTCGAAACACTAAGCACCAGCGTAAAGGGTACGGTCAGATGTACCTGTTTTACTATACTTTAGATGATAAAACCTACGCAATCATAGGTCCCATAAAATATTCCTCATAAAAGAACATTGTGGGGAGTGTTTACATGTCGTAAAAACGCAGCGTGTCTCTGTAAAAAAATGAACATATTGATTCATTTGGGTGTAGACATTTACTACTACAACAAAGTAGTAAGGCGGTGACCTCAGATGTAAAACTTCCGTCCAACGTCAAACCTTCGCCCAATATTAAATTTAGCATTTTGCAAAAAATATGTAATATACCTCTCTAGCATGGGATGAACAATAAAACCGGAAGTGGGATATTTGTTCGCCGCAGTACTGTTACAATGTGTGAAACAGACCTGGCTAATTGATTTGTTGTGTTGTACCGCTGTCACAAAAATAAGCAACCTTTATGCATCACCTAAAGATGACAGCGCGGTTATACAAAAACCTGACTCTATTTTTTAAATCAGAAATCAGTCAGGGGAATCTGAATGGCGATTAAGATTTTCTCAACACACGCGTTTACAGTAAATCAAAACGCTCGACCAAAGCATGTTTTGACCGGCCCTTGATTTAACACAGTAGTAATGAAGTAGTGTTTCAAAGAAGAAGACGTCATAATCAGCGACGTAGAAAAATCTGCATCGTTTAAGATTCGGGTCACGCCCTTATTGCTATTACTAGAAATACTTATATATTTAGAAGCATGATGTCATTGTGTGAGGGACAGACTTGCTGAAAGCACAATGTCTTCATTATTCACGAAATCTAAATCAATACATCACTATTTTATTTAGAGAATAATAGAATAATTATTGGATTGCGATAACCCAATAATAATCATAGGTGATCAATATTTATAAAGTTAACCTTCAATATGCACCATATTCTTAAATTATGGACCCGCTAGGTATCCCTGTCGTCGATGATAGTAAATAGTAATGGACCTGCTAGGTATCCCTGTC